CGTACCGGAATCGTCGAGATTTGGGTCCAGACTCGCGACGATATCGCCGGTCGAGGCGTGCCTCGAGGTAGTAGTCTGCGTGCTACTCGCGAGCGCGTGGCTGCTCGCGCTTCCGTTCAGCTTACTCTTCACTACGAGGCCTGCGTTGTCGGTGTTTTCGGTCGTGCTGATCCTCTGCACGTACTTACGACCTTTGCACAAACGATACATCGTGTAAGGGGGATCCTCGACAGTGGTAGCCCGTTGCCTGGGCGCGCTTACTGTCACGCTAACTGTTTGAGCGTGGGCGGATTGCGACGACGTTTCCATGCTCGTTGTGTTCGCGTTCGCGTTCGTGTTCGCGTTCACCGTCGACGCGGCTATCGTCGACGTCGAGGAGCTCACGTGAAAGGAGGACGAGTTCAGCCACTCGTGACGCATCGCCTCGTCGGGGGTCATGCGTTTCTTTGGATCCCACCTGCCGGAAACAAGAACACACTTTCGTTAGAGACGTTTCTCTGTAGCGGGGTTGATGATGTTTGAACGTGATAATGGGCTCTCTTTGTACGCATTTTCGAGTAACTTTTGTGTGTTAGGTGCTGTGAAAACAGGGGATTTTCATTCTAACACTTTTTCTTGCCAATCTTGGATTCGACGTTGGATTCCTTTGAATTCTTTTCAATTTTCAAACGCTAGAATTAGATTAATTAAACAATTGGAATAAATATATCGAATGTAATTTGGATCACGTAATATGATAGTAAGTATTAAGAGATTTTTATTTCTTTTCTTTCTTCCGATGGAAAAACGTTTGTTAAAGTTCACAGGATTACTTACTCGAGGCATCTGCGAACAAAGTCGACGAAAAGTGTATCGGTGCAACGAAGAGCTATGGCAAGATTCCTGCTACCAGCCCATCTCTTCTTGCCCTTACTGTTTGTCACGCATCGAGGACTTCCCTTCGGATCTGTAACCGATTCCTTTTATTTCACCAGAATAATACACCTCCTACACCACCCTATCAATAACCCTCTTCGTTAAAAAAAAAGAAAATCTTCCTCTGCACCCCTATAATTTATCAACTCTCCAATAATACACCGCACATCGTAAAAATACGTCAATTTCACGCTTCTACTCACCGAAGAAAAGCCTGCGACGGGATGCGTGATTAATAATATGTTCCGGTGGCAGGCCAAGAACTTCCATAATGCAGGCAAGTTGTTCAATTTCATCCTCGCCCGGGAACAATGGACAACCGGTATAGAGTTCGGCTAGAATACAACCCAAACTCCACATATCGATCGGGGTACCGTATGGAAGACCCAGAATCACTTCTGGACTTCGATAAAATCTGGACTGAAGGTATGTATATACACGCTGATGGCTGTAACACGAGGATCCGAAGTCTATCACCTTAATCGAGCTGCTTCCCCGCTGTTTCAGAAGCACGTTTTCCTGCAAATACGACGATGGATTAAAAAATGGAATTAAGTTCAAGGGAACTTCATTCTTATTAACCCTTTGCATTCTTCGTTGTTTACATCACTGTTTACTTTGTTCAGGCAAGTTCAATTAACATTACTTACTGGAGGATTGATGAAATTATTTCGTCGTTATTTTTTTTAAAATTATTATTAATTTTTATTCTTATTGATATACAAATATACTTACAGGTTTCAAATCGCAATGAATTATCTTCTCTCGATACAGCAGTCTCAGGCAGCTAATTAACGAATTGGCGAATCGTCGTATTAGGCTCAGACTAAATCCCTTATAGTTATTCTTTTTGATTAGCTCGTATAAATTCAAACTGAAAACAGAAACGATAAATATAATTATAGATATTCTATATATATATATATATATATATATATATATTCAAAAGAAAATAAAATTAAAAATTCTTGAATTCAAAATTGCTAATAGCTTTTCATAACAAATGTTATAAATTATAACGTAAAAATTATGTTTTTCTCTTTAAAAAAAGATAGGAAGAGTTTAATATCAATTATTCGTCGTGAGACTATCTACATTTGTCATTTTAAAAATGCTGTCTAGAATAGTTTTTAACAAAGAAGAAAATACATTCGAAGATTAAAGGAGAGCATATACCTCATTAACTCAAAGGTGATGCACAAATGATTCCTGAAGTAGAAGTATTCTAGCATGTGTATCACATTGTGCGACGCATTCGCCTCTAGATCTTTCTTCCTGAGATGTTCCAAAATCTCCACTTCGACGAGAGCTTGATGATGGAATCTCTTTTTATTTCTGTAAAAAAATTGTCATAAATAATACGTCATCAGTTTAAAACAGTTAAAAATAATCGATAAAATCAATTTAAATACAAATTCATAAAAACAATATTGTCAAATCTCAAACAAAACGATCGTTTATCATATTTAGTTACATAAATTTAATCAAGTCATACAATTCCAATACAAGTTGTCATCAAAGATGCGCAATAAAAATTTATTCGAATAACATTCAACATTGGCTTTTTCTTCTTGTTCGTTCGGTGCAAACGTGACTTAATCATAGTTTAAAAGCGAACGAAAGAAAGCCGGATACGCATGAAAGGAAGCGGAGGATGCGCGACGATAAAAGCTGATCACGCCATGATCACGAAACGCGAGTTTGTATGGTAATTTAAAGTGATTCAGTGGAGGGATACTCGTTCAAACGTTCGCTTACCTGATGATCTTGATGGCAATGTACTGTCCTGTCTTGTGATCCAACGCTCTGATCACTTGTCCGAAGCTTCCTTTCCCGATCACCTCCAATATCTCGTATCTGAACAGAAAATTATCGGTTTTCGACCATGAATTTCTGCGAGTTTAATGATTTAAGGATTCAGATCTTTTTGAATTATTCTCTTCTTTTATTCGTTTCATATCTCTGCAATGTATAGGTATTTTTTTTTATAATTGTTATTGTTTTTTTATTATAATTCTCGAATGATCATATTGAATGATAATTAAGATTAAAATAGGAAATTTGTTCAAATTTCTATGAAAATTAATAGATTTAAAAGTAATAAATACAAAATTTATAAAAATTAAAATTTTCTTTAACAAAGATTCTACATCATTTTTGATTTAATTTAAGAAAAATTAGTATTGATTTTCCTATAATTATTAAAATTGTATATCATAATATATCGTTGCAAACTGTGTCATTTTGAAAAAATGAATATTGCAAAATGTCGTGTAATTATTATAATGAATATATTATTGTTTCGATAATTTTGTATTTTATGGTATATAAGTTGGATAAAATTTCGCATTTTTTTAACAATAATCAAATACATCGAAACGTACTTTACATTGGAGAATCACAGATTTCAATTTTTAGTCGACGTTCCCACGAGAGCGCGTTCATTCTGCTTGCAAAATGGCCGAATCCTGTAAGCTTGTTTCTTTCAAACGGCGTATCTCGTTTCGCGTGGAACGAATGCTCCCCGATACTCTACATTCTGATTAACAAACGTGCCGAAAGCAACGTGAACGCGATTGCGTGCTACAAACATGACTAAAAGGCAATATTTACCATTTTTTAGTTGAATCGTCTTAAGCTTTTCTCTTCGCTTTGAGGTATTATCTTGCAATTTATAACATAAAGTTGGTTGTGCAACCTTGAACGTACACAAAGATTAAGTGGAAGATTTAATTATATACAAAACTGATTTAATTTATATTTCGACCATCACGAACGAATTTCATCGCAAGATTCAAATTATTTGATTAACTCTAAGAATATTACTTGAGAAATTCTCTAAACTCAACAATAAACAACTATAAGCAGCTATATAAGATAATTTAAACGTGACTATTCAAAAGATATAGAGATATGATAGAAATATATATCTGAATTTTATTTTTAAGATATTTAAAAACATTTAGAAGGATAGAATTAAATAAAAATAAATGGAAAGATATATAAAAAAAACATTTGATAAATAGGTTATTATATTTAATGTGAAAAAGATTTTTTACTCTTAGATTAATTATATTATTTTATTCTATAATGCATGTGAATAAAATAAAATTCAATGCAAAATGATATAAACATTTTTCTTATAAAATATAACATATATTCAAATATATATTATATATTTCTTAAAAAATACATGTAAAGAAAGTTCGAAAAGCCTTCTTTAGTTTTATAATGATAATATGTTTCCATAGAATTAATCAAAAGAGAAATCTTGCGAAAAATTTAGAAAAATGTTTATTTTTGAATGGAGATAGAGAATGGTTTAAAATTTCGATAAAAAATATATACATAATATTTTATTTCTTTATTCAATTAATAAATAAGAATAGAATGCAAAACTCATTAAATATTTATAGCTCCTAAATTTGATTGAATTGCAACGATAATAGGAAATCGTGAAATCGGGAAGAATAAACCGTAGATTAAGCGTTAAGCTATTAAAGAGGAAAGTCTTTTAAAGAATGAGTAAACTATGAAATAAAAGAGTAAAGAGAAAAACTCACCTGTACGAGATATGATCGTGGAAGACCTTGTTGTAACTACCGTTTTCGTCGTCGTATCCACCATTTTGGGATGAGCCCTCCTCGCCATGAATTTTCGTGGCCGACAGACCAAGGTACCAAATCTCTGAGTATTTTTCGATTTCGTTGCGCTCAAATTCGGTGAGCCTCGAACCATAATACTTGAGAGCTTCTGGAGCTGTCATTGGC